AAATGGTCTCTCAGTTTGGTTCATTAGGCTACACAATCATGGGGAAGACTGCTGATCTGACAGTTGTCCAGAAGACAATCATTGACACCCTTCACAAGGAGGGTAAGCCACAAACATTCATTGCCAAAGAAGCTGGCTGTTCACAGAGTGCTGTATCCAAGCATGTTAACAGAAAGTTGAGTGGAAGGAAAAAGTGTGGAAGAAAAAGATGCACAACCAACTGAGAGAACCGCAGCCTTATGAGGATTGTCAAGCAAAATCGATTCAAGAATTTGAGTGAACTTCACAAGGAATGGACTGAGGCTGGGGTCAAGGCATCAAGAGCCACCACACACAGACGTGTCAAGGAATTTGGCTACAGTTGTCGTATTCCTCTTGTTAAGCCACTCCTGAACCACAGACAGTGTCAGAGGCGTCTTACCTGGGCTAAGGAGAAGAAGAACTGGACTGTTGCCCAGTGGTCCAAAGTCCTCTTTTCAGATGAGGGCAAGTTTTGTATTTCATTTGGAAACCAAGGTCCTAGAGTCTGGAGGAAGGGTGGAGAAGCTCATAGCCCAAGTTGCTTGAAGTCCAGTGCTAAGTTTCCACAGTCTGTGATTATTTGGGGTGCAATGTCATCTGCTGGTGTTGGTCTATTGTGTTTTTTGAAAACCAACGTCACTGCACCCATTTACCAATACATTTTGGAGCACTTCATGCTTCCTTCTGTTGACCAGCTTTTTGAAGATGCTGATTTCATTTTCCAGCAGGATTTGGCACCTGCCCACACTGCCAAAAGCACCAAAAGTTGGTTAAATGACCATGGTGTTGGTGTGCTTGACTGGCCAGCAAACTCACCAGACCTGAACCCCATAGAGAATCTATGGGGTATTGTCAAGAGGAAAATGAGAAACAAGAGACCAAAAACTGCAGATGAGCTGAAGGCCACTGTCAAAGAAACCTGGGCTTCCATACCACCTCAGCAGTGCTACAAACTGATCACCTCCATGCCACGCCGAATTGAGGCAGTAATTAAAGCAAAAGGAGCCCCTACCAAGTATTGAGTACATGTACAGTAAATGAACATACTTTCCAGAAGGCCAACAATTCACTAAAAATGTTTTTTTTATTGGTCTTATGAAGTATTCTAATTTGTTGAGATAGTGAATTGGTGGGTTTTTGTTAAATGTGAGCCAAAATCATCACAATTAAAAGAACCAAAGACTTAAACTACTTCAGTCTGTGTGCACTGAATTTATCTAATACACAAGTTTCACAATTTGAGTTGAATTACTGAAATGAACTTTTCCATGACATTCTAATTTATTGAGATGCACCTGTAAGTCTAAGTGGACGCCCATGACATGCAGAGTGCCACAAGGCTCAATTCTTGCACCGCTCTTGTTTAGCCTGTATATGCTCCCACTAAGTCAAATAATGAGAAAGAACCACATTGCCCATCACAGCTATGCCGATGATACCCAGATTTACCTAGCCTTATCGCCAAATGACTACTGCCCCATTGACTCCCTCTGCCAATGCATTGATGAAATTAACAGTTGGACGTGCCAGAACTTCCTTCAGTTAAACAAGGAGAAAACTGAAGTCATTGCATTTGGAAACAAAGATGAAGTTGCATATGAATGCATACCTTGACTCTAGAGGTCAATCAACTAAAAATCAAGTCAAGAATCTTGGTGTGATTCTGGAGACAGACCTTAGTTCAGTTGTCATGTCAAAGCAGTAACTAAATCAGCATACTATCATCTAAAAATCATTGCAAGAATTAGATGTTTTGTTTCCAGTCAACACTTGGAGAAACTTGTTCATGCCTTTATCACCAGCAGGGTGGGTAATGGTCTTCTCATCAGCCTTCCCAAGAAGACTATCAGACAGCTGCAGCTCATCTCACACTGCTGCCAGGATTCTGACTATAACCAGAAAATCTGAGCATATCACACCAGTCCTCAGGTCCTTACACTGGCTTCCAGTTATATTTAGGATTGATTTTAAAGTACTTTTACTCGTCTATAAATCAACCTCGTCTAGGACCTAAATACATAGCAGATATGTTCACTGAAGCATTTATTGAATGAGCACTGTGCAATGTCCAAACTGATTGCACTGTATTTTATATATAATCATTCATATATAATCATTAATATTCATAATATAATCACATATAAATCAATTTTTAAATAATTTCAAGTTTTTAAATTCTTAGTTTTATTGTTTTGATAATTTTTTATGATTATTTTACTTCCTTTTATGTAAAGCACTTTGAATTACCATTGTGTATGAAATGTGCTATATAAATAAACTTGCCTTGCCTTTCTCTTTATTAGTAGGTTGTAAAGTAGCTAACTGGGTCATTCCAGGGATTCAGTAATATTTCAGTCCTCCAGAGTTTCTAAAGTGGTGGTTCACCAAAATTAATTGTTAGAAGCTTTTCACAAAACTTTGGGATGCCCATTATAATGAATAAAAATAATTATTGGATTTTTAATATTTTTTAGCATAAAATAATGTCTTATATCTATCTTAAACCAAGCATTTTGTCATGTCACTGAGGCACTTCACTGAGTTTGTACTTTGAAAATGATTAACAAAATGTGCATAGTGTCTGTGGTTTTTGGCAACAATGTAAGCATTTATGTGTGTTCCTTTCTTGGAAAAAAAACAACAACCGCTAAATATTTTATAAAAACCAGACTTTAAAGTTATGTCCCTCAGTCTGAACTCAACCCTGTCACACTAACCATTCTACGCCGCATAATAATTTAGACTCCACTCATATGTGACATAATTTCCCAGAAATTACATAATTCAGGTCTCTTTAATAGTGGTGCAGAAAATGGCTAGTAGTATCATACTTTTTATTCATATTTTTGAGGCATGTTATAGTCAGGGAGGGTACTGTCAAGCTTAACAACTCAACCCCGTCACATAAAATTAAGATGGAAAATTATTACTTTTTCAACATTTTATTTTAATAAAAGTATATACAATGTACTTATTTTATTGCTGTCATATATGGTCTACTCTCCTACACTACATGAGGAGCAGTGACCATTTTGAGTGAAAAACCACAACCCTGTCACAAATATATGTATTTCTCATTGTTACGGGGTTGTAAACTTGTGACAGGGTTGAGTTATTTACTTCATTTATCAATAATTTTAATGACAAAATATAAAATAGTCATGGTTTCAGTAAATATATATACTCCAAAATCATGACAACTCATATTTTTGTTTTAAATAGAATTTTTGATGTAATATGTCCACTTAAACTTTGACAAGCATCATACATCAGAAATTGCACCCACATTTGCAGCAGAAAGACAATGCTGGCCATGCAGATATGTTGACCCAGAAACAAGGGGCCAATATGAGAGAGAGAAAAAAACTAACATTTAAATTTAAGGCAATGTATCCTTTCAAATGTGTTACAGTCTTCAACCCTGTCACACCTTGCCACATTAATATTTTTTGAAAAAATATAGGGAAGACAATTAAGAACAAAAGCATTTCTTGCTGATTACCATCTGATATGTTAAGGGCTAAAACAATACAATTGTGGTTTTAGTTAAAATTTTAAATAAAAATGTATTTATTTTTTACAAAAATAAAGAGACCGTAGACATCATTTGTGTGTGTGTGTGTTTTTTTTACTTCAGTCCTATAAAAATGTGAAAATTATGATAAATCTTGCATTTATCATAAAGCTGAAAAAATTTGAAAATAATAAAAGGTCTTTAATGCCT